AATTGCAACAATAAAATCTTAACTCTAATAGAATACTAACTAAACTCTAATTAGACCATAACAATGTTAAGCAAGCTTTAATCAAATTCAAAGAAACCTCAAAGGAATTACAAAGAAATAATAAAAAATCTTAAAGAAATATTAGAATGATCACAAATATATCTCAAATACATCTCAATTCAATCTTAAATTAACCCTAGTTAAAATCCTATTGGACTTCATTCAAACTTTAGGCCAAAAACTAACTAAATCTTAAATCCTAAAAAAAACCCTAATAAAATCCTAAATCCTAAATCAAATCCTAAACAAACCCTAAATCAAACATTAATCAAATCCTAAACCCTAAATTAAACCCTAATCAAATCTTAAATCCTAAATCAAATCCTAAATCCTAAACCAAACTCTAAATCTTAAACCAAATCCTAACCAAATCCTAATCCTAACCAAATCTTAAATCCTAAATCAAACCCTAATCCTAAATCAAATCCTAACCAAATCCTAATCCTAAATCAAATCCTAACCAAATCCTAATCTTAAATCAAACCTTAAACAAATCCTAATCTTAAATCAAATCCTAATCAAATCTTAAACTCTAAACCAAATCCTAAATCCTAAACCAAATCCTAAACCCTAAACCAAATCCTAAACCCTAAATCAAATCCTAATCCTAAATCAAATCCTAATTAAATCCTAAATCCTAAATCAAATCCTAACCAAATCCTAATAATTTCTATAATAGATTTAAACCTCAATAATTAATGAATGAACTATTGATCTTAATTCAAAATTTGTGCACTTCTTAAAAATTAAGTTGAAAACAAGAAAAAAAAAATTGAAAAGGATCGAATTTAATAAAAAGACGATAACCTCAAAAACGTGCTCAGATATTGGCTGGCCTCCTTCTTTTACCTTGATGCTAATCTCTCAGAGCCAATATCTCTCCCTTTCACCATTCAATTGATCTCAAAATTTTTATATACATAGAAAAATAAGTCTACTATCTTTATAAATAAATTTTACTCCAATTCAACTAGTAGATTGCAAGAAATCTTTAAAAACCTTCACTAGACCTAAAATTCTACTTTCTGAGACCTTGATCCACTTAATCCTCAATAATCCTCAATTCAACCGTTAGATCAAGCTAAAAATTACAAAACATATTAAACATAGCTATAACCATTAACTTGTAAAATATCGTCCATAGATCTAGTATAAAACTCTTGAAATTGTCCAAAATGTCAATCCTATTTTATTTCATAAACCTAAGTCATCCAAAAACAAACTTGACTTTGTCAAGCTCTTACAAAGACATTACAAATCCAAATCACCCAAAATCAATGCTCATAAAAATTCTATCTAGTCTGCTATCAAATTCCACTCTTTGATCTGCCAAAGAAGCCTTGAGTTGCTATAGGTGCTCAGTTTTGTACCTCAAGGTCTGATTTTAACCTAGGTTCATAACCAGTACTCTTTGGGTACCAATATCTAGTTTTTTTAAATAAATTTTGCTAGAATTTACTCTTAACTTCCTTCTAAAGATGCATATATTATTTGTTTTTCCAATCTACTTTGTTTTGCCTTATTTATGGTCCTACAAAGTAAGTAGAAGTCACCTTTCTAAAAAGGCAGCATTGGTACTTTTTAGTTTTACTACCTTTTTGACTATTAACTATATTTCTAAGATAATTTGTTCTAATACTTTGAACTAAGATCTCCTACATTATAATAATTTCCACACTCTTTCACCTATTAGTCATATTATATCACGATAGCATAGACTCTTCTTAGCATAAACTTGGTCAAGAAGTCCAAAGTTAGGATGATAGTTTGTAATTTCTTGGTATAATAATCCAAAAGTCAAATCAGAGGAGGATAATTTGCAACCTCTAATGTCAAATAAAAATTTCTACAAAGAAAGGTAATTTGCTCTATTTAAGAAAAAATGAGTGTTAAAAAACGAAATTATTTGTTTAAAAGTGAATAGATTACAATCTTCAAAATACAACAATAGAAGTAGGATAATCTATTCACTTCTAAAACAAGACAAGCACAATAAATTAGAACTCTTGTCAAATTATCAAAGACATAAATCTTGAAGAATTAAAAGATCTAGATACTCTTGTATCACTCAAAAAAACTAGATAATCACTCAAAGATAATATAATATTAAATTATAATGGCTATTGCCGAAGACAAGAAAATCAAAAAGTCTTGAAATTAGACTAAAGACTAGAAAAGCATTGACAAGAGTGAAAAAGACTTTATTCTTTTTTCTATATATACTTTTTAACTAGGAGATACATGGTAATGTTCTATAGGACTTCCAATACATATTAACTTTGCAAGATACATATCTTAACTTGCAAGATAAGTTTTCAATATGTGTGCTACATAGTTGGCTTGTTCTATATGTGTGCTACAAGCTACCAACATGTGTGACATGTGGTTAATTTGTTGACCAAGTTTTTAACTTACTAATCAACTACAAATACATATAAATTCAAAATTACATCTATGAAGCTTTAAAGAAGCTTTTTTAAAAGATATCATGAAATTAATCTACTTTACTTACTTCTATCTAATCATATTTGTAATTATTAAAATAAATATGTATGTCTATGACATTGTATCTTCAAATATATATCTATATATATATATATATATATATATATATATATATATATATTAAAAAATAATTTAATATTAAAATTAAAAGACAAGATAAGAAGACTAAAGTCTCTTAAAATAAGACTAAAAATAAGAAAAGTATTAAGAATAATAAAATATGTATATATATATATATATATATATATATATATATATATATTGTATAATTAGCAGCTTTGTTACAATGTTTTATATGATTTCTAACACATGTCTAACTTACAAGATAAGTTTCATGTATGTGCCATATGACAAACTTCTATTGTAAGTAGATACCTTGTTGGCAAAGTTTTCAACCTTTTAATTATCTTTATACATATATAAAGCCAAATCTACATGTATTAAGCTTCTAAAAAGCTTCTTTACAAGATATTATAAAATTTACTTATTTCTATTTTTTCTATTTAATTCCTCTAAATCCAAGTTAATATGTTATTTAAAGTTAGAGGAATTAATAACCATCAAATAATTTCTCTAAATCGAATTTAGAGGAATTAATAACCATCAAATAAAAAAATTTAAAACTTACTATACATAATAACATATTCAATTTATTCTTATAAAATTTTATAAATAAAATATATAAAATTGATCAAAAAACTTCATTAATATATTCTTAAAATCTTAAATATATTTAAGATATTAGTAATGTCACTATAATTTTTTATTATTTTTATCATAATATGCCATCTACTTGACATATTTCTTCATTTTGTTTAATTTATTTTTCTAAGTTATATAAAAATTTGAAATTTAATTTAATTTAATATTAAAATATAATAAATATTATTTATTTATACTGAAAATAGATTCTTATTATTATATGATATTAATAATAAAATCTTTTAAATATACATATAAATATATGTTATCAAAAAATACTTTTTTATTTAATATTAACAAAGAATGTGAATATTTTATAGTGAATAATGGATTGTAATATCAATAAAAAAAATTATGAAAAAATGTGATAGATGGCAATAGCAATACTATATATATATATATATATATATATATATACTATTTTAAAGTTTATGTAATAAAATTTTTGAATTTGATTATTTTTAAATCTTAAGCCATAAAACATTTATTATATATATATATATATATATATATATATATATATATATATATATATATGTGTGTTAAAAATTATTGATAATTTTTAGCAAAAATTAATTAAAATCTTTTTGATTTTTCAAAAAAAAAAAAAACTATATTAACTACAAACTATAATAAAAAATGTTATTTGATAGATATTATATTATAAATTTCTAATAAATTATACAAGTATTTTTTATTTAGGAATGATTTGTAAAAATACTTTTAAAAAAAAAACCTAAAAAGTCAATTATACATATAAAATTATAGACATTATCATTTACAAGATCAAGTTTAGACAAAGGATCCAAATTGGCTACCTACTAGATTTTTGAGTATCAAACAAGGAACAACATCCTTTCTTATCTAATTTTCAATTATCAAATCAAAATAATACATGCCAAAGAATTTTATAGATATAATTAATTTGAATCTAAATTCAATAAAGATTTCAAAATAAAACATTCATTATAAAAAGAGAGTTGTTTTAATTCCTTAACTAATTTATTATATATATTCAACACTACTTTGAAATGATGTATCTTTTGTTAAATAACCTTTGGACTATAATCACCACCCTTATTATCTTCAGACAACTTTTATCATTCATAAGCTATCAACTTGAGTAGGTATACTCAAAAATTTAAACTTGCTCAAATTCTTTATTTAAATTAATATTGGCTACAAATATATCCATATAATTAGGTAGTTAAGTCATAAAATAAATACATTAAGAAGCCTTATCATGAGCCAAAATCAAAGAAATTGTTATCCAACAAAAGCCCTATATAACCTACAAAAAGATCTCTAATTGACTATATATATAATAGATTAGTAGATCATTTTACAGCTCGTCTATGCCCAAAGGCACATATTTTTGCTAATTTACATACTAGTGAAAACTTGTAGGGCACCAAGATCTCTGACACTGCCATCCATCTAATCTCTAGTTCATCCATGTTCCATCATTCCCTTGTTTCCATGTTTGGCCAATGAGGAGATTTCTTTGTCTCTTTGTCTTATACCCAAGTTGTTTTACACAATAGATATACATACATACTCTATAACTACCAATTTGAAAATAATTTCTCACTGCCTGCATCTGCGAGAAGAGAGGGATGAAGCAATAGCAGAGCCAGGCGGAGTCGGCCCCTACTGCGCCGCGGCCATGGGAGGGGAGGGTCCCAAGGGCGCGCGGGAATTACAAAATGGGGGGGGGGGGGGTACGTGGTCTCGGTTTGGGTTCCGTTCCCGTCCGCGTCGTGCACCTGAAGTGCTCAAAGAGGGGGGAGGGAAGACTCGTCCTCACTCGCATCGCCTGCCTCATCCGCACCCACCATCGCCACTGCACTGGACTGCACCCAGATTGCCCCCAGCAGAGCCACAACGCCCAGCTTTCCCTTTTCCTGGATTGTCCATGGTCGCCGGGTTTCATCGAACACAGCATTAGAGGAGGGGAAGGGGCTGTTGAGCGCGACGACGACGAAGACGACGTCGGGAAGGAGGAGGACCAGGAGACGAAGCCATGGTGAGGAAGGAGGCCGTGGTGGCGAGTGTGGCAGCTGCAGGGCTGGCTGTCACTGCGCGCGTGGTGATGGGCATGCTGCGACGCAGCCATTCCAGTGAGTTTTCGTGGTGGGCGAAAGGATTGCTCGTGTGTTTGAATGGGAATTCGGGGGTGAATTGGGTCGGAGTCGGTGGGGTAATTCCCCCTGGTTGCTGGGTGCGAGGTTGTGAGCAGGTGCTTTGTTTGCTGTGCGAGTCGGATCTGTAAAGATTGCGGATGATGAGCCATATTGAAGGAGGGATGACGTTTTGTAGTTTTCATTTTTATATTTTCCTGAGGTTTCTAGGGGTCGTTATTTTTGTGTGCTGGGATGGAGATGAGATTTCCCAGGAATGTAAACTCGTGCATTGGAGGTTAAGGGCTTAGGGGGATGGAAATGGAACTTCGCGCGTCCCCTTCATGCATGGCTTTTGATCGAAATATGGGAAAAATTTAGCGCGTGAATATCAGGTGTTGAAAGAAACGGGGTGTCATTGCTCTGCATTTTCGGCTTCCAAATTTTTTCTAGGATTGCAGAGGAGTGCTTAGCTATTGAAGCCCAGACCTTCGATAAATTTTTGTGCAATGCCAGCACTTGCATTATGATTTTTTAAGACGGGACTGAATGTGAGATGTTTTAAGGATCAAATTGAAGGAAGAGAGTCGAAATTTTAAGTTGACTTGTCAGAATTCATCTCAAATTACACAAGTCTCATTAAGAATGATTCAGTTTTCTCCTGTTTGCGTAAAAGTAACACCAAAGTGGCTTCTTTGCGCGGGGCAGATATCTCGGATGGTATTCAGGTCCGTCTCAAACTTTCAGCTGTCGACATTTTGAGGTTAACAGACAATATAATTGCTACGTCAACGAGTGTTCATGACGCAGTTGCTGCCGTTCCGCTGGATCAAGTAATTCCTCTTCCGACATCCCTACTGTTCTGCTGTTTGGAACTAATGTTAATGCAACATGAAACTGTGCCTTTTCTGCGTCATCGGTAGAATTGCAAGCTGGATAGCGCCTTTCGCAGTCTCTCGAGCTACATTTTGAAGACTTTCTTTGGTTGGACATTTTAACAGGTGACATATGAAAACGTGATCGCTCCTTTGGCCAATCTAGAAGCAGAGGAGTTTGCATTGGTGCAAAGTTGTGTTTTCCCGGCCTTAGTGTCCACCTCGAAAGAAGTACGAGATGCTAGTTCCGAGGCAGAGAAGAGAATTGATGCTTACAACGTAAAGTGCAGGTAATAGCATAACTAGCTAGTTGATTAATCCACTGATCATTTGTTGCTCATGTGCAATATCGTGTTCAATTTGGCTTGAGCGCTTCAGCATATGTTCTATCATTGGTTACTTGAACAGATGAAAAGTTATTATCTGATGTCAGTTGTTCTTACAAGTGTTCTTGTCTTGGACCATTATGTAGTATGCGCGAGGACGTCTATCGTGTTGTTAAGGCTTTTGCTGATAAGAAAGAACCTCTAAGCCCTCAAGCCCAGCGCTTCGTGGATCGTGTGGTTAGTGCCTGTCTTTTTAACTCGTGCTTCATCAAGCGGATCTACTTAATTCATGTACTGCATATCTCACAACCTTCTGTTTTACTGTGACAACAATGTCTTTGATCAAGGTCATCACGTGGTGCAGATTAGAGATTATGAGAGGTTGGGCTTAAACCTATCTCCTGACATACGAAGGAAAGTTGAATTCTTGAAGACTACCATCGGTGAGCTCTGCATCGAATTCCAGCAAAATATGAATGAAGAAAATCGACGCCTCTCTTTTAGCGAAAGTGAGCTAGCAGGATTGCCTGCGGATTTCATCAAGGTATTTCAATCAAAATTCTAACAATTATGTTTGAAGTTTTATCTTATTTTGTTTTTATTTTATTTTTTTATGCACAGGTGAACTTGGGGTTAGGATGATAAGAAATTGATTTTGGCTTTGCGAAGAATGCATGTTTTGATTGATGCCGTTAGTGATTAGTTTTGTAATTCGTAAAGTCTTTCTTGTTGGCACCATCCTTCAGGAACTTACTCGTGATAGCGATGGCAAGCTGGAAGTCAACCTGAAGTACCCCCACTATTTTCCTATTATGGAGCGATGTCAGGTGAGTCAGGCGACTCTTGAGGTCAAAGTGACCTTATGCATGGTATCATTTGTTTTTACACCAGATTTGAGTTTAGAGGAATTGAATTTCTCCTTTTGACGATGGTAAACTGCTCTGTAATGTCGATCAGCCTGAAGTAGCGAGCCATTCATAAGAATACTTGTGATGAATTTAATGATTATGCGTGCAACTTGCTGTTGTTATAATGACTGAAATATTTGTTTAGAGATGCTTCTCCTTTTCAAATTTCCTGATCCGATTGTTAACGTTTCACAATCTTCACTGAGCAGGTGGGAAGTACAAGGAAAGCCGTGGCAATCGCCTATGACCAGCGTTGCATGGATGAGAATGTGACAATATTGGAGAAAGTGGTATGTGCCTGACCAGAAGAATAGACCTCTGCATTTCCACAGATTCTGGAACTATTAGGTGAGTTCTGTATTGAATAAGTTTGATTTGTGTTTCTGCTAGGTGGCGATGAGGAATGCTATGGCACAGTTGCTGGGTTACAGGAATCATGCTGAGTATGCAATAGCTATACGCATGGCTAAGTCGCCTCTGAAGGTACAGTCGTTTGGGTTTGTTTTGTGTTCTTTCGAATGATCATTGAATCTTTCATAAAGTATGCAGCAAGGAAATATTCAACTTAATCGGAGTAGATTTAATGATGTATGCGTCAGCTGTGTTCTGTTGTATTGCATTATTGTGTTAGTTTTTAACGATATGTGCTTGCTACAGTGGCTATCGATCTCATCAGTTGATTTTGTGTATTGTCCTTCAGGTGAAAACCTTCCTAGAAAATATTTCTAGTAAAATGTCCCCTCTCGCCAAGAAGGAGCTTGCAAAACTACAAGCCATGAAGGTATGTAGGAGAAGGGTGTAAAAAATCACGCTGTCTACGTTGGGTTTGTGGCTCGTTAATGTACATGGTTGTTCTGCATAACAAAGAAGGTAAAGTATGAACATCTGTCTATGCCTGTCCAGAGGGAGGAAGAAGGTGATGAACCTTTTGGTTTTCACGATTTGAGGTACTATATTCGAAAAGCTGAGGAGTTGGAGTTTAAAGTTGACTATGAGACAGTGAAACAGTATTTTCCTTTAAATGTTGTTACAGCAGGCCTGCTTCAGATTTATCAAGACTTATTAGGTTTGATGCTCTTATATCCTCAACACCATCGTGGCTTTCAAAATTGCGTTTTCAATTTTCTTTAGGTGTTAGACAGACATTTGTACGTAAAACTGGTTTTGGAATATATATATATGAGCGTGTGTGTGTGTTTGTAAGTCTTGGTATTTTTGCTTGTCTGCAGGTTTAAAATTTAAGGAAGTTGTAAAGCCTACTGTTTGGCATCCAGAGGTCCAGCAATATGCTGTGACTGATACGGAGACAGGCGAGCGCATGGGTTACTTTTATCTTGATCTACACCCTCGGTAGGTGATAGACGCTTAACATTTCTATGTCGACTAGATAACTCATTTAGAAACTGGTTTACGTTTCATGATTGTAACAATATGTCGTCTGTCACATGGTTTAGTATTTACTAACACAGCAAATTTTAAAGATCTGAAACTTGATTGTTCAATTAAAATAATTTCTTATGTCGAAGCACCGTTTGTGTTTTCTGTCAGGGATGGAAAATACACGCATGCATGTGTGTGCTCACTGCAGCCAGGGTGTGTCCAAAAAGATGGTACTCGTCAGGTAATAGCTCTCATTAAAATCTTGTGTATGGAACAGCTTCTATTCTATGCAAATTTGACTTATTACAGTCTTTCGAATCGTTTGAAAACTAGCAAGTGGCCAAGAATGCTATCTCTAGATCTCAAATTGTACATATGCTGTGATTATTTTTTCATCAATTGCTGCTGTCTTCTGTTCCAGCTTCCTGTTGCGGCGATGCTTGCAAACTTTACCAAGCCATCGGCAGAGAAACCGTCATTGTTGGGACACGCGGAGGTTGAGACATATTTTCATGAGTTTGGGCACGTGGTTAGTATCTGACAGAGAACTTCGTTCAAGAATGTCTGGTGTGATGATTTATTAACTTCGATTGAGCTAATTATGTTGTATCCAGTTAGCAATGACGTGGTTATTGAGCTGAGTACAACGAGTGTAAAGTAAGTGAAGTTGCCACTACTTTATGTTCGCAGATGCACCATATCTGCAGCCGTGCATCATTTGCAAAATTCTCAGGCCTTCGTGTTGAAGAAGATTTTGTGGAGGCTCCCAGCCAGATGCTCGAGAACTGGTATGGTGCTCTGTTGTGCTGTGAGAAGGACTCATTCATGATTTTTCGCGAGTGATGTTCTGTCTATCGTAGCTCTTATTGTGTTGAAGTTCAAGAAACAACTGAAAAAGTGTATGACGTCATGACGTGGCTCCGCTTACTTGCAGGTGTTTAGATGGGGCGTCGTTGAAGATTATGAGTGGTCATTACAAAGTAGGTTATTTTCTTAAAACAACGCGGACATATTCTCAATATAGAAATTCAACCGTGTACCATATTTTCTTTTCAATCTGCAGATATGTGCATCTGAAGGGCTGTTTTTTTATTGTCTTCTTGTCAAAAACGTCTGTTTTGGGAGGTGCTCACATGTCGACGACATCGTTGCAGGACTCGAAACAACCTTTACCGCAGGATATCTGTGAAGCTTTAATGAAGAAGAAGCGTGCGCATGCTGGCCTTCTCACGAAGCGGCAACTACTTTTTGGTAGTCACAAATAATTTTCTCTTTATACTCAATGATATGGAAACTAACATTTTAGATAATATATCTAAAGTTTACAGACGTTCTCTTCGAAAATAACTCGTTTGAAATATTGGGTATATAAAATCGTTGATGGTGGTTGTTACTTTCCTGATTTTGAAATTTGTTATTTGTTCAGGACTCTTTGATCAGACGATACACATGCGAGATAAAGTGGACACAGCTGCTATTCTTAAAGACTTGACGCCTAAGGTTTGTTTCCTCCTCTTTGACAATACTAATGCAGCAGATCTATGAGAACAGGATTGTGCCCACTGTACCATTGTCTAGGATATAGTGCAAGGATTATCTTCTTCTATTATCACGTGAAATCAATGTCTGTTAACCAGTGATTCGGAAGCAGGTGATGGAGGGAATCCCAATGTTGGAAGGTACTAATTTCAGTGCCTCATTTGGTCACATGGCTGGCGGCTACGACGCTGCATATTATGGGTATCTTTGGAGTGAGGTAAAAAGCCAGTACTTCCATATCATTCTGATTCTTGGGCACGAACCCAGAATTGGCACATTCAAGTTGTTTTGACCCAGTCAAAAAGAACCTTTTCCTTCAGTTCCATTTCAACCTTGAACATATCTCTATACGTCTTGAATGTTCTTACTTCATACTTGTGCAAGATATGTCCTTGGCCATCGTTACTGACTTTAAATTAGGCACGTCTAGTACGGTTTTTTTTGCATAATTATTATCATTAATATTCGTAGGCTATTGAATTTGTGAATCGGCTATGAGGTGAAATTTCGTGCTGATTGTCTTTGCTGCTTACATACTCTGCAAATCTGGTACACTTTGCTTGCGTTTTCGAAGAAGTCGAGGTTGCTTCGTGAATAATTTAATGTCTTTTGTCTGCAGGTATTTTCAGCAGACATGTTCGAAACCAAGTTCAAGAACAATGTCCTAAGTAAGGCGGCAGGGAGAGAGTATCGAGATAAGGTAACTGATTTGCGGTTGCGTGTATGTTATGCATGACTTAGAGTGTTCATTTTGCTTGGTTTCGGCTTAAGATGAGCATGCAGAGATTGTTTTTTTCCCATAGCATCCTCTGTTGTGACAATAGAAGAGGACAGCTATAATATGATCAAGAAAAGAAAACCCAATAGTCCACACTGAGCGAACTTGTTTGTGCCAGGTACTTGCTCCTGGAGCTACGAAAGATGCCTCAGTCATCTTAAAAGAGTTTTTGGGACGCGAACCAACTCAGGAAGCATTTTTGAGAAGCAAAGGTCTTTAAGTTGTGCATAATGTGTTCGTGTTCGTGTTTGCAATTCCTTAGAGTGATTTAGTATTTTTGGAAATTCTTGAAGGTGTTGTGGGCATGTGAATCAAAAGGGTTGATTATTCATGGGGGTGTTAGAAATGCCCTGGAAAGTGTTGCAATTGGTTATCTTTTCATTCAGACGAGCAGATGAGGATACAGACTTGGTTAAGCCGTCTGCAGTGCGAGAATGTAACGTGTCATGTTGAGCTGATTAAAGATGTAAAAACGGCATATGACACATGCTCAGATTTATTTATTATTCCCAAAGGAAAATAACTTCAACGGTGTGATTCTCTTACATCAAGAAAGACTTTGCGAAAAGTAAAATGAAAGTCGTGTGCACGTATACCTGGTAACATCTCTGTACTCGATGGTGGTTTTAAAATCTTTAAGGGTGAAAAAAATGGTGTACAAACGCAACAATCAATAACTGCTAAGATTATATTCCCTGGATCTTTCTGACATCTACAGGTTAACATAGCAAAAGCTTAATTGAATGCGTCTTCTCTTTGCGGATTGGCAAGTGATACTTATGTGATATATTACTTAACTCGAGCAAGTGGACACAGCTTTTGCAACAAACATGGCCTACATGCGCAAAAATGTTGATAAAACTAGGGGAATGACTCTGTCCATTGATAATGCCCTTAAATCACAAAGTTGAATTACCCTTTCAAAACTTGCAAGCACATTCAACATGAAGTTAACCAAATATGTACTTGCAAACTTCCATCTCAAAGTTCTGTAGAAAATTTTCTGATAATTGTTGTAATTTACATTCTCGACAATTTGTAAGAATCATGTAACTATAAACATCAAACCAAGGCTTAACTATCTTTAAATATGCAGAGGTTTTCTCTATCCCATAATTGTTTGAAAATATGAATATTGAAAAGTTGGCGATGAATTATTCACATGTTTGAAATGCGATCCTCCAACTCTGTTTGCTGGTATTTTTAAGAGGTTCAGAGAGAATTAAAAATTTGAAAGTACAAATTTTGAAAATTGAAATGATACCGCAATTTGTTGATTTCATTGTAGTCACTAATTTTAATAGACTCTCCATGTGATAATTCCTCTATTGATGCCATCAACAAAAAGAGAAAAATAGAGGTCAAGACAAACAATGCATGTCTGCATCTCGCTACTAACTTAAATAGTAATAATTCATATCTCAATATAATGGTTTAGAGTTTTTTATTCATTGCTGAAGACAAGTTAACAGAAATGCAAATCAACTCTTAATTTTTGGCTGGACATGTATGAGAGAGAGAGAGAGAGAGAGAGAGAGAGAGAGAGATAAAAACTAAAAAATAAAATAAAATAAATCCAATGTTCTCGGTAGTATGTGTTTGTCGTCTTTTCACAATGAAATGTAGAGTTTCAAAAGTTGGTCTTTACATTTAGATCTCTTCGTAAAAGTTCTTGATTTTATTTGCAATGTTTTTATTACAAAAGAGCCAATCAGATGCTTAATCTTGAAAATAGTCCATTGTTTCGGGTATGGTGGGTCAATCAAAATGTGAATGTATATATATATATATATATGCGCTACTATTCTGCAATTCATTGATGAAGTAACTTGCATTCAGGTTTAACAAGCCATGAAAGAACAGTATTCAATCAGTTAAATATTTAAGGTGAAAAAGCAAGGCAAGTCGAGTTGAATGCTTACCGATAATGGTATGAAATGAATAGCTGAGGAGTTGAGGCGACGACCTGTCGATGATTCATTCACATCCTAGTAAGTTAAGAAATACCGATCTAGCAAAAACTTGGCAATGCACACATGGTGTGTCTACATGTAAAGGCTTGCTCATAAACTTCCAGTTAATGTATTAAAACACATTCCTTGCATAATAAGAACTACGTTAGTGTGTGCCATCTTTGGGATCACTGAAAAATAAAATTCAGTGGCAAAGGAGCACACATTTGTTTCAGGTGGTAACCGATGTCAGCCATATTACAATGAGAAGTTACACCAGCTCATGCCATAAGGTACAGGATCCTACTTGCGTGCTATTAGAAATTTTACCATGCCCTACTACTCCAGCATCTGTTTGGAAACACATGGAGAGCTTCACACACCTGGAAAGTGACTAGATCACTAAGTCATAGCACGGCATTTCCGTGATCACTAACCTACTACGGAAATCATGTCAGACATGAAACATCAACCCTGAATATGCTTGCTCTCGCGCTTTCTCAAAATACTGCCCCAACAAAGATTCAGAGCAGATAGGTCTCTAGAATACTCGTTCCAACTGGAAGAATGATAGTGTCAAAAGGATGGGCTGTGAACAAACAAGAAACTTCGACTAATCAAACTGTCCTTACTCGGGCTTGGAGCCCTCTGTCTTTGCAACAGACTCGGCTGATGACTTATTTGCTGCAGCCGCATCTCGCTCTGCTTTCTTTTTCTTCTCCCTGGTGTAAGAATAACAATAACAACATCAGAAATTGCACATGAGACGTGTACTCTCAAACTACAGTCAAAATTCGTGCTTTACAGGTGTTTTATAGACATGACGGCCCAAATTCCGAGATCGTTAGGAGCACTGCTAGCACTCTCACTATCCAATTCTGGCAAAGTATCCATTGATTTCATTTCCAAACGCAATTCACAGGAGAAGAATGCAACGTCGGATTACCCACCTGTCAACGTATTCCTTGATCAGCTCTTTCCCTTGAGCCAGTTTAGACAACAGGTTCCTGTACACGTCTAAGTCCCGATCCACGCTCCTCTTGCTCACATTCAGGGCCTTAGACAGCTGAATCCAAACACCCGTTGTTGACATCGGTGAGTCCAAACATTACGACCATTAAAAGCTATACCTGAAAAAATCTTGCTCGCAGAGGAAGTGCCCTCGGATCCCCCATGTGTAATTGATACAGTCAAGCCACTGCGATGCAATAGGGAGTCCTAATGTCGTCCATTTCAATATTACGGAATGGTGGAGAGGATGTACTGGTAAATACGCGTAAATCTAACACGGTTTTTTACCAACCTACTCATGCTTCGTTTGTAAATAGAACTTAATTAGGTCTAATTGTTTTTTCTTTTCTTTTCTTTTTTTCTTTTTCAAAAACTGAACTTATACTAACTGTGGTGTTCATGATTCATTCTAGCAATTCTAATACGGATCCTAACAGTTGTAAAAGAGAGGTGAGGCATGTATTATAATGAGGCTAAAGATGAACTTCTCATGTTAGTTAACGCGAGGGTTGGCATAAATCGGCAAGGTATTGCACGTTGGCATGAAGTGAAAGGTCAGACCCTATGTAGAGAAACTATACTAAAACCATGATTTCGTACAAGCATGTTGATCTAAGAAGCAAAGGCTAGTGAGAACTTACCGTTTCCAACACAGCTGGGTCGGAGGCCTTGGCGCATTCAAGAAGTCTGAACAAGCCGATTGCAAAGAATCGACTGTAGTGAAATTTCTCTTTTCCTGCGGCCCGCTCCGCGATGTCCTTAAGAGCAGCCTCCACCTCACCATCCTTACCTGCAAAGTCGGCAATACCACTTCCACTTTGAGCTGCGGCCCACTCCTCGAGCTTCTTAGAGTCTTTCCTGCAACTCTCAAAAGTGCAAAACCCAGTCAGAAAGTGACTCAAGAACTTCGACATCACTGCACGTGTCAAACTCAGACTCCCAACGAATCAGCCACCGTCTGTGCGAAGACGATGCATGACCAAAACTCATGATAAAGGAAGGACGCATGAACAGTTGAAACGCAACAAGAACGAGGCGGAAACGAACCTGTACTGCTCGGGATCCTCGTTCAATGCGGAAATGTAAGCCTTAAAGATTGCATCACGATCTTCATCGTTTGGATACCCGTCCATGAGTTGATCGTACACAGTCACAAATCCTAGAGCAAAGATGGGATCATAGACATAGGTCGAATTGTATCGCATCAAATGCTGTTGCACCAAGAGCTCCTGAATTACGTTGCTGTAAATGCTAGGGATAGGCTTCCTGTATGATTTGATAAACGATAGCTTCGTATCGGCCACTGTAGGTACATCTGCTCTGACCATAGCAGCCCCCCCAGATTTTCATCAACATCTACCCCACATGCCACCATCATCCACCACTCCGCCAAAATCCAATCCAGTGCCAAAATTCACTATGTCCAAAAACACCCTTAATCCCAACTTCACATCAATACACAAATGGAGCACTTCCAATCCAGCTACAAAACCCCTTTACTCAAATTCCCAACTGAAGAATCTCAACCAATCCTACCCTATCGACTCATACCAGTAGTTGACGAAGCAGCAGCAGCAGCGCACGCCACAACACCACGTCTCTTGGTAACGGCAGTAACTCCAACCTGACCACCGCACCGCAGATGCTCAACAGGGCAGCAACCCATCTGCCATACGCTGCTCCGCAGCGTTCTGGTCCTCTCCATTGCTCGGATCGCTGCAACAGCGCCCTTAACGCAGCACGGAGCCACAGGTGAGCTCGAAAGCGCCGCCATAGCCACCAAAAGCTCCAAAACCGAATTCAAAACTCAAGCTCAAAGTCGTAAATCACTGGTTGTCCGCAACACTACTCCACAATCACGAGAGAGAGAGGAAGAGTGACGCAATGCAAGAGAGATCTGTCGCGGCAGCGGAGCAAGCGACGGATGGCCAACTGACATGCGCTGCGACGATAGCCTTATCCGGAGGAGCCCAGGCTCCGCCATGGCCATGTGCGGGCCGGGCCGCAAATGACAGGCGTCGACGTGTTGCTGTCTCGCGCCCGGACCAGCCAATGAGGCTTCGAAGCCTCCTCACTTGTTTGTCCATAGCAAAGATGGCATTTGTCCCTTACTTCTTTCATTGGGTGTGCGATGATCTTTATAGAATGAAACATAGTAATTTTTGAAAAATGTTAAATTATTATTACTATTTATGTATTATGTTGAAAAAATAGGATTTCTTTAAATACTAGCTGATTATAAATATCTCTAATAATCCAATTCCAAATATATGTGTGCAATTTTATCTAACAATGTGTTCAACAAAAATCATAAAAAAACTAATTTTTACATGATTTTTTAAATTATTTTATGAATATTTAGTATAATACAAAACTATAATATAATTTTTTAGTACATATAGTGACAAACAAAACCGAGTACAAAATCTGAACACTCATAGTTCATTGATCCTTGCAACTGACACATAAGTCAATTGATAGAATTACTTTTGTATTGTGTGTATTCATCCAGTCCTCTACATGGATGAAAAATCTCATTATCATTTGAGGTAGGGTTTATGAGAAAAGTGTTGTAGAAGCACACAGACGTGCGTACTCAGTTTTGGTTGCTTCTTCTTGCTGAATTTCGAAATTTCAATGTACACTCCTTGTTGCAAGATTTGAGGGCATTTTTTGTTTGTTGTGTTGCTCTTGTTGTGTACTATCTATAGTGAAAGTTGATTTGTCAATTGTATCTCTATGCCTCGGTTGTGTGGATCATTGAAGCACCAAGCATTGGTGCAGCTTAGGAGTGGTGTTTCTACAAGAAAAGTTGTAGACTCACTTGGAATGAGTCAGTCTTCAGTAGCTCATCTGAGGAGGGAGATTAGTGGTAAAATAGAAAAGCAAAGAGGAGGACGTCCAAAGGTTTTAGGAGAGCAAGAGAAGCGACTTGGTGTGCACCTTGTCACTACTGGTTGTCTCAAAACGGCAAGTGCAGCTGCAAAACAAGTTCGAGAAAAAACAGGTAAACACTTCTAAGACATCACCTTGAGGCGTGGTTTGAGAGAAGCTGGTTTGGGTGCTTGTGTGCAACAAAAGAAGCCTCTACTTGCCAAAAGACATGTTCTTGCAAGGTTGAGTTTTGCTCATAAATACAAAAATTGGACCGTTGATGATTGGAGACGGGTTATTTTCAGTGATGAGACAAAGATTAACCTAATCAACTCAGATGGTAGGTCTTGGTGTTGGTTGAGAGAAGGAGAACGACTTGGACCTAAACATGTTAGTCAAACTGTCAAACATGGTGGTGGTTCAATTATGATATGGGGTTGTATGACTGCTTTTGGGCTGGATGCTTGGTATCAAATTGAAGGTAGAATGGAGCAACACTTGTACAAAAAAATTTTAAAAACCTACTTGCAAAGTACCACACAGAATTACAACTTAGATCCTACTAAGGTGGTTTTTCAACATGATAATGATCCCAAACATACAACAAAAAGTGTTCAGTTTTGGCTCTCTTCACAGCCATTTCAGCTCCTTCGATGGCCAGTTCTATCTCCAGATTTGAATCCAATGGAACATTTTTGGGCCCTTCTCAAACAGCGTTTAAACCAAGTCACTCCAAGGCCAAGAAGTGTTCAAGAATTGTGGGAGAATTTTTGTAGTATTTACCCTAGTTTTGATGCAAAAGATTGTGAGAAACTATACAAAAGTATGCCAAGAAGGATTTCAGCTGTTTTGGAAGCAAAAGGTTATTGGACTAAATATTGAAGTTTGAAGATTTTCTTTGAATAATACTGAGTACAAGACATAGTTGTTGATTTGACTTTGTAGAAGGATGTTTAGTTATCAATTTGATGTGCAACTTTGTACATGTGTACAAGACTGTGTGTATTATTCCATGTAACTTTCAGATTTATAAAGCAATCATTGAAATTTCTGTAATTGCTCTTGAAAGTTGGTACTTCAGATTTTGTACTCGGTTTTGTTTGTCACTATAGGTAAATAAATATTCAATCTTTAGTAAAAATACACAATCTTCTAACTAAAGTTTAAATTATTGTTCTATTTTCTATTATTTTTATATTTTTTTGAATAAATCATTTTTAATTATATTTAAATTTTATTTTATGATAAACTATCTTTATATCTCTTTATAGCTTTCTATTTAATTTGAACTTTATAAGATCCAACTTATTAATAGATATATATATATATATATATAAATATTATTTTTCTATTTAATATAATTATTTTGTTGTAAAACTTCAAATCATAAAATTTAGATAAAAAAATTACTACTACATACAAGAAATAATATATCAAATGTTCTTAAAATATGTCTTTTAATTATTCTAAAAAATATTCTAAATTCTAAATTAACTTTAAAAATTGTTTTAGAGTCAATATGTTACTTATGCTACTACAATTTTTGCTATTGCCAACATATTTTTGCTATTGCTATTACAACATATTTATTTAGTTTTTATATTCTAATAATTATTCTTATTAATTATTCTAATATTATTTCTTTATATTAGTCAAAAAAGAAGTTATCTTATTAATAACATAAACAAAGAGTATTGGTGATATGTCATAAATAGCAAATTAATTGTGATGGCAATAGCAAACTTTGTGGTAGGTTTTGTAGTACTCTAAAATTATGTATAAAATTGCTTTAAAATTTGTAGTAAAACTTGTGTTATGTGTAAGATTGATTTTTTTTTGTATTCCAAAGTTTTCACATGTAAAACTACTTTATATCTTGTGGTATTGACTTATGTAATATAATTATTATTGTTTATAGTAAACATATATCTATGCTAGATGTATACTTTAAATGTTTCATATGACATCCATTCTTGTTGATTTTAAAATATAAAGACCTTTTTAATATCAATTGAAGACTTCTCTCATATACTTAGTTTGTCACGAACATACACATGTAAGCCAGTAATTACATGTATAAATAAATAGAAGTAAGCAAAAGTAGGTAAAAATAAGTTAATTCTATAATATTTGTAATGAAAGCTTCCTAGAAGCTTCATAGACGCTGCTTTGATTTTATAGGTGTCTTTAATTGACTTTTTGGATTAAAAACGTGGTCAACAAGTTAGCCATGTGCCACACATGTTGTTAGCTTGAAGACCAAGCTAACTATGTGACCTACATGTAGAAAAGGCATATATCCTACATAGTCAACACATATTAGAGGTCCTATAGAACATCGCCACATAGCCCCTAGTTAGATAATATATATAGAGACAAGAGTGAAGCCTTCTTCATTCTTATCAACTCCTTTCTTGCTTCCAGTTTAGTTTCAAAGGTCTCTAGTTTTCTTGACCTTTGGCAATAGCCATTCCAGTTTCTTTCTTAATATACATATCAAGTTATTTCTATTTTGTCATCTTTCTTTGAGAGAAGTTTCACTTGTTTATTTGTTTTTATCAAGTTCTTGTCCTTGACATAGTTTTATAATATCTTTTATATACAATATTCAATTCTTCAATAAATTTTGTTTATTTTAAATATTTTTTTCTTTTAAAATTTAATTATAATTAATAAAACTTATCAGTATTTAAATAATATAAAGACTATCTTATTTTTTATATAAAAATTAATATAATATAATTTTATTAATAAAACACCATATCAATAAGTTGATTTGTATAGTTTCTACTTAGAAAATTTCTATTATCTAAAAATTAGAAAAAAGTTACCATAATTATTTTTTAAATAAAAAAATATATATTTTATTCATGATTGTCAATTAGAAATCAATAGATTTTTATTTTGAGGTTTCCAATGAAAAAATTATACATCGATGAAAGACTTAAAACTTACAAAAAATATATTGAAATTATAATTCTAATTCATAGTATTTTAAATTGTTCAAAGGTAAAAACTATAAATTAACATATTTTAAAAAATAATCATAATTGTAAATACTACAAAGATATATATTCAAAAATATTAAAATTCTAAAAATATATTGATACCAAAATAATTGAATGAATGATTTATCATTATGTAAATAAATAAACTATATATATATATTATATAAAATAAGAAGAGACAAAAATCATCTCTAATTGGTTGCATGCATCATTGTTTTTGTAAAAAATAAAGTAAAAGTGCAAATTTAATTCAACTTTTTATCAATTGAAGATCATATTGTTGTAGATTGCTAAGATCACTATGCATTTACTAAGCATTTTTGAATTGATGCATGGTGGAAAGATGATGTACATACAACTTAGTTAGACAACATGCACAACATTTGGGATCTAATTCCTTGCACTCTTAAAGAGATCATAATCTCTCTTGGATTGCAAAATGAAAAAGTAGCAAATTTGTTGGAATTTACACTTTAATTGATATCAAAATAGAATGATGATTCAAAATTTATCATGCTCATCTGTGTATCTTGAATCCTTTCACAGACTTACACAACTGCCTCTTGCAAACATTGCCACAAATTGAAGGTGACTGAGCAATTAAATTTTCACTGTTTTTAGTTTGTTAGAAATGCAACTTTAGGTGAAACATGATCATGTTATTAACTTATAAGCGATGGTGGATGATGGCCATATAATTAGCAATTGCGCCACATGATGCTTCACTTTTGATGAAAACAATGAGATAATGAATCAAAGATGGTTTTTGTCTCTTCTAATTTGTCATGTTGATTTATCCCTTGAGTTGTTTTATATATCAAAAATAGAATTTAAATATTGGTTTGTTACAGCCTATTCACTAGTAAACTTCTTTAATTTGGATCAAACAAGTAGTAGAATGTCTTATACCTATCAAAGATAAGAATCAAACTGGAGAACGACAAAAATATTTTAATTTACGTACAAACATAGTCTTATCTTCTTAAGCTCCTTTGTTTGATTAAAAACATGCAACTAACATTTATGATCACTAGTATCATATGTAAACAATCATAAGAAGACCACAAATTTTCATTTATATTTTTAAAATATAAATTTAAACATGATAACAAAGAATGCTAGATGAAATGTATATATTTTCCTCTGTGGATGGAAAGTTGATGATAATTTTGCATCATTGTTATTATTTCACATGAGTGTGATTTAAAAACGTAAAGATATCTAAATATATAAATTGAAAAGACTCTTATAAGTAAGCAATAATAACACAATCAAGAAAAATGGTGTTTTTAAATAGAATTTGACATTTGTGTTGTTAATAAAATTTACAATTCAGTAAACACTTTCTTTCAAATGCCAAAAAGAATTGAATTTGTTTTGTTCTAATAATAATATGTTTGAATTAGCTCAAGCTCAAGATCATAACAATTTGTTCTCGTTCCAATAACAAAATCAAGTTAACATCAGTCTCTCATTCTTTTGATATTTCCGTATACACAGTCCAAGTCTAAAAAGCTTCACCTTGTGTGACCTTTCCAAACACATAAAACAATAAATTTTAAAACTAATAAAAGGTCTTAAAAATACGTACAAGAATTGTGAACAAACAGACAAAGCGAGAGAAGAAAAAAAAAAAAAAAAACAAAACAAAAAAACAAACTTAATGTCATAGCACGTAATGCACGTAGCAAAGCAAACAGCCTCAAAACCTTTTCAGCAAGTTGCACTCGTCAAGCATTATTATCCCACTCAAAATTGACTGATAAAACTCTTTAATTATAAATTTGTAAATTACACACCTCTTTCAATAGTTTATCATCACACTAATACCCCCTCTCTTTATATGTATGTATATATATTTATTTCTATGTACATAAATATACGCACACATAGAAAAAATAGAACTGGTTAATTTCGAACACTACGTATGATCCTTTCGAGATTCTTTCAAATAATAAAATGTTATTTTATTTCCACAGTAAGGACGGTGAGGTCCCCTTTTTAGGGTTTACAAATTCCTGAAGGGGGCTCTCTCTGTCTCTCTGTCTCTGTCTCTGTGTGCAAAGCTCCACGCCCACTACGTTGCCCTCCCTCCTGCAGCTCCGTTCCTTCGTCCCCCTCGGCCGCAGCCGCATCACCAGCTGCAGCAGCCATGGCTGGATTGGTGCGCTTCTCTCCATTCCCTACCTCGCTTTGCTCTACGATTCATGGGTTTGAGGTTAAATTTTGTGGGTTTGCGTCTGGATCCGCGATTTTGAGGTTGTGAAGGTTTGGGGTTTTTTCTGGGGTTTGAGGGTTCCTGTATTGACCAATAGAGGATGTTTGGGTGAGCAGAAGCTTTACGCCAACCCGGTGAACAAAAATGCGTACAAGGCCTTGATTGCCGCCGAGTATGTGGGCGTCAAGATTGAATTCACCGAGATAACGGACTGGTCCACTACCAAGTCTCCCCAGTACCTTGCGATGAATCCCATGGGAAAGGTATGCTGTTCGTTTTCCTCGCTGATGGTTCATTAGAGTCTTGACATGGGTCGATGTGGTATTCCTTGGGAGATGACACTTTTCCTAAGCGTATGTTTGCGGTGTTTTTGATAGATACCGTTTTTCTGTGGAATTGGTTTCATTTCGAGGTTGGGTGTGGAATGGCTGCAGCTGCACTCTTAGATCGGTTTCCGATTTCGCGCGGAATTCCGTGTGGGATGAGGTTTACAAATCTTCGGGTGTTGACGATGTGTCTTATTGTGTTATGGGCTGTTGTGGGAACAGTGCCCCGTTGCTCTAGTAGGTATAGGTCTCATGATATTAAAACTTGTATGTTTTATTGCTAATTTATTGACACGAAGTTGGTGGTACTTGTCAGTTGGTCTCTTTCATTATTCTGAGTTGTATATCTGGTTTGAGGTTTAGTAGACTATCACTGCTGATGCACTGAAATGTTTTTGAAAACGGTTCTTGTCATCGACATTGATGATCACTGTACGATCTTATGGAAGTGTGCGTGACTTCGATATTACTCGAATTGATCATGTTTTTTTGAGAAAGTCCAGACTGATTTGACTTGTACGTCTGCAGGTTCCAGTTCTGGAAACTCCAGAAGGATCCATCTTTGAGAGTAACGCTATTGCTCGATACGGTTAGTGTTCAATCTCGGCAAAGTTATTTATGAACGGAGCCTCTCTTTGCAAATTGTGAAGGTGTTTTTACCGAGATTGATACAGATCTTTACTCGTTGTGTTGAATGCAGTTGCTGGCCTCAAGGATGTCGGCTTGCTCGGTGTCCCTGGGTACAATAAGGCTCAGATCGATCAATGGATTGATTTCGCCGCTCTTGAGATCGACATCAATGCTCGGGCGTGGGTTCTTCCTCATCTTGGGTTGGGATTCTTCAATGAAGAGGTGATAATTCTAACTTCAATTTGAATTGGCGCTCAAGGTCACCAATTGTATAGAAGAAGACAACGATTTATTGTGACAATTATTAGAAAGTTCATCTGAAAGACCCTATCCATCTTTATACCGCACAGATTTTCAAAGCGTTGTCTTTGTCGAGGGCAGTTACAACTTTAATGTTACAATGTATAAGATGTGATAATATCCTCTCCACGCTTACAAGATGATCCCGCACTGCGATATAGTTATGTTTTATTTTTACAACTTGCAAGTTTACTCATATGATACACATTCGATGGCAGGTGGAAGCCTTCATTATCAACAATCTGAAGAGAGCTCTTACTACTCTGAACAGTTACCTTGCATCCCGGACCTACCTTGTTGGAGAATCTGTAACTCTTGCTGATATCGTTCTTATCTGCAACTTGTCTTTCATTTGGCGTAGGGCTGCAACTAAGGAATTCACTGCAGAGTATCCTCACGTGGAGAGATATTTCTGGACTCTTATCAACCAGCCCAACTTCAAGAAGGTCTTTGGTGAATTTACCCAGGCAGATAAGCCTCTGGGACCCCCTCCTTCCAAGGGTGAGACGGTTGCCCCTCCTGCAGCGGAAAAGAAGTCCACCCCCGAAAAGGAGAAGGTGAAGAAGGAGAAGCCAGCACCCGCACCAAAGCCAGTTCCGGAACCGGAGGCTGCTCTTGACGATGAAGAGGCTGCCCCAGTGAAAAAGACCAAGAACGCCCTTGATTTGCTTCCCCCTACACCCATGGTTTTGGATAACTGGAAGCGGTTGTACTCCAACACCAAGGCCAAGGACTTCCACTTGGCTATTAGTGGTACGTCTTCTAATGAGCATATGATTTAATTTAGAGCCTCAGTCTGATACTGAGCACCCATGCTTATGGAGAATGTCTTGACCCTCGGCTTGTGCTAACGTGGTGGACGGGTTGAATATGCCAGGATTCTGGGAAATGTTCGATGCTGAGGGTTGGTCATTGTGGTTCTGTGATTACAAGTACAATGATGAGAACCAAGTCACTTTCGTGACCATGAATAAGGTCGGAGGGTTCCTTCAAAGAATGGACTTGGCACGCAAGTACTCTTTTGGAAAGATGTGCATTCTCGGTGAGAACCCCCCCTACAAGATCAAAGGAGTCTGGCTTTTCAGGGGGCTGGATGTGCCACAAATGGTGTTGGATGAGGTCTACGATGCGGAGCTCTACGAGTGGACCAAGGTAGATATCACCAATGAAGAGCAGAAGGCTCTTGTGAATGCCTACTTTGAGGAGCCAGACACCATCCAAGGCGAGAAGCTCTTGGAGGCCAAGTGTTTCAAGTGATATACTTTTACTGGGTGTCTTTCATTATAATCTGTGCTTGTAGTCCCGTATTACTGAAGTTCTTAGCAGTTTGTGTAGTAGGCAGTGGCTTGTCCTCATTTTTGGAACAAAGTCGGGAAGAGTCTGTAATTTGAACACAATTTGAGTTGCATGATGGATTCGCCATGTGGCTGTCCTAGTTCGAGTGCATCCCTCGAGTCACCTTTGAATTGACTAGCACTCGCGTTATGTTTCCCAAGATCTCCAATATTGAATAATTATGGAGGTTTCCCTGTGTTCGATAATATATCTTGTAAAAATATTATGGTATCTTTCACACACAGATGAATGACTGGTATATTAATGTGTTGAATGGAATCTTAGTTTGACAAATCAGTGAAACTTATAAACAATTTCAGGCCTGTACGAGTCAATTCTGAATTTCGAGGATAAATAGTCCGTCACTAGTAATGTAAGGCAAAATTACACATGAGGATGAAGCAGGTAAATGTTGAAATCCCATATTTCATTAATTTTGAAATGGGAAATTTTCTATTACTAATAAGTTAAGGAATAGACGACATACAGGAAAGCCAATGTCTTACTATTTCAGTTTGTAATGAAGCTTCTACTCAATAGTGTGTAGGATACTTAGACAAAAATGTTACCTCAATAGCTCAAACAAACAACAATCTCTTGATAAAGTTATATTGAAAAAAAGTTTTGTCACTCTTTTATCACTTTTATTCTCACAAATCATCTGAAGGCATAAGTGGTCTTTGAAGCACCTTATGCTCTTTTAATACATGAAACTACAAAGTTAATCTATAAAGGATCTTAATCAATCAAAAAACACAACATTAGTATTCTATAACAACACCTTAAGGTACAAATCTAACCTTGAATCCAAGATGCACTTATCAACAAGTAAGAGCAAACGAAGATCTAGATCTAGATCTGAATCTAAAAGTTAGGAGTATAAAAATCCTAACATCAGCAACAACAATATGATCTACTCTACACAACAACAAAGACTTCATAAAACTTCAAAGAAACTCATAAAGAATGTGAGTAGGCCCATAACCTATTGAAGAAAGAGAAGTTAGAAGCCACAATTTTATAATAATAAGTCTTAGCAAAAATTGCATTTTATCTTCTATCTTTATTTGTGAGTTTTGTGTATGTGATTAATATAATTTATTACATTTTAGACTTCTTCAACATGTGATCACTATTCTTTGTAAAACTTGTCCTTAAAAGAAGAGGTAATGTCACAAACATACATAATTATATAAATAAGAAGTATTAGGTAGAAAATAAATATAAATAGATTTAATAATATTTTATGGAGTATCTTCTTAGAAGCTTTATAGATGCAAATTTGACTTTATATGACAAAAAGATACAAATTTGACTTTATATTTATAGTCGTATTATAATAGTGTACATATAAGAAACTTATCTTGTAAGTTAGACATGTATCTTACAAGTTCTCATAAAACGTTGCCACATCATTGTTACTTAGATTAAGTATATAGAAGCAAGATTGAATCCTTCTTTATTCTTATCAATGCATTTTTTTGTTTCTAATCTTGTTTCAAAAATATTTAGTTTTTTTGTCTTTAATAATATTTATTTTAGTTTTAATATTAGACTATCTTTAAATAAATATATATATTCTTTTTTAGTAAAATAAGAATATATTAAGGATTTTATTGTTTGTTATTTATATCCTTGACATCTTAAGAATTTCAAACTGTGAATCATTGAATTGACTCATTTGAGTATTTAATATAAAAAATGAACTTATTGTATTTAAAATCACAAATTTTGTGAGTTAGTAGTGGAATTTTTAAGAAAAATATGAAATAAATTGCTAATAGCAAATATGAAGTCTAGGATAAATTTTATTAAGACAAATTTCTATATTAGATATATTTACTGTATCTAACATTAGATGATGGCTTAATAAAATTAGCTCTCATGGTCGAAAAAAAAAAAAATATATATATATATATATATATATTTTAATAGTTCTTAAAACATATATATTGATCTTTTGTGGTTTTTTTTTTTTTTTTTTTAAAAATTATGCCACTATTATTGCATATGGCTTTAATAAATACTTTATTAAATCTTTTTCAATATAATTATCAGTTTTTTAAAATTTAAAATATTAAGTCATAGATAATAATTATAATTAATATAAAAATATATTTATTGAATAAAAAAATGAAATGTATTTTTAAAAACAAACTCTATCAATGGCAAAAGAGTTTTTTTAATTAACTTGATGGTTATTGATGGTACATCTCAAGTACTCCTTCAAAACTTGATTTATTTATTCTATTTGTCCATGAATTTGAGAATAAAAAGCCAAAGATATAAAATAAAGAATTTTTCAAAATCTAAATAAAAATTAAGTTTCTCTATCTATTATAATATTTTTTGAAAATCTATGATGTTAATAAATATTGTAAAAAAAAAGTTTAGTTTTTTTTTCACTCATGATAGATTTTGTATATAGTACAAAATATACCATGTTGATGAAACAATCTATTATCACAAATATGGAGTTATGAAAATTTATAATTAAAAGATATATGATAAAATTCATAGAAATAAAAAACTATGATTTTTTTGGTATTGATAATAGCTAAAACAAAGTCCATAAAGTCAATACAATTTTTTTTAGATTTGAACAAATATTATATAATTTTATAAAGTTTTTAACTTCCTTCTACATTTGAGACAACTAAAAATCTTGTGATATTAGCTCTAAGATCTTGTTTTATCCAAAATATCTTATAATTCAGAAGTTGTGACAAGCTTAAAGATTATATAGTTTTGCTTTACCTTTTAGAACATACAAACATCTTTTAAAATAAAATATATTATTTTTAAACTCAAATTTTGAAGTATTATGAAATTTAAAAGATTTATTCTTAATATCACAAATAAGAGGATTTAAGGACATAGTTGATTAGATTCACTTAAGAAAGGTTGAATCAACAATCAATTTTTATTTCATTAATTAAAGATAAAATTATTCTAGCTTCAAAGAATTATTTGTTGTTGATCAAAAGCTGAATTTCTTTCTTTTGGTATAAGATAAGAACGTCTAGAAAGGACATTTGACAAACCTTATTGTTTATTTAGTTGATAATTGATTTTGAATTTGAATCTTAACAAAAACATATTTCAATGGATTAATGATAATTTATAACATATACTCACATAAAATCCTTAAGGTTTTTTTGATCTATATATATGGTGACTAGATTAGAAGTGCTTTTAAAAGAATAGTGTTATTCTTTAAATGAATCCACAATTGCAAGAAGCTCTTTGTTATAGATATTGCAATTGATCTCAATTGCTAAAAAATTTCTTGAATGAAAAGCTATTGGATAAAATTTTCATTTATTCTAATTTATAGTAATATTACAACCTAAATAAAGTTAGATGTGTTTGTTTTCATAAAAAAATACCTTGAAATAATTGACACAATATTAGATTGGTGCCAAAATAAAAATTATCTTTAAAGCTTCAAATGATACTTTTATTTATTTTTTTATTTAATTCAAATTTGATTTTACAAATCTAACATGTAAGTATAGTTGCAACTTAAAAAAAATTAATAAAGATTTGATAATAATTGGAAACTCTTAAAAAATATTATATATCTCCTATTATTTTTGGAGCTTTTTAATCTATGATAGTTTGAACTTTCTTAGAATCCATTTGTGAACTAAAATAAACTTCTACTAGTAAGAAATTTATTCAAGTTCACAATAAGTAAATTAACTATTTTGTTCTTGGAAATTTTAGTTCTTATTGAAATCTTAATTAATTCATTCTTGATCTCCTTGAATCATTAAGTATAGAAATAACAATCCTCTACTATTTAAAAGATTGTCATAATTCATAATAAATGAATTAATTAGATAAATTTAATATATTATAGCTCTTATCTAAATTCTAATAAATTATCCTTCAATCTTATTAAACATCCAAGTCATTGAGCAAAATCTTTATCATTGACTCACCTATAATAATAATTTATTTATAAAATTTATGCCAAAGAAATTCTTTTTCTTAATTTTAAATTAAATTTTTTATTGATTTATTTATTTTCTTTATTTTTATTATTTGATTATTTTTAATTTTTAATTAACATTCATCCATCGACAAAAATTCATCTTTGAATGATTATTCATCTAAGTATAAGTTTTCATCTATATAATTTCATCTAATGTAATTTTTTTTTATTCAACTTCAATTATTCATCTAAATTAACCTAATGCAATTCTAATCCTAATTTATCTAATTAAATCTAATTTCTTTTTTATTTTAACTTCATTCAAATAAAATATAATTCATCTTAATGCAAGCAAATTCATCTGCTTGGAAGAATCTCACCTCAAGCCTAAAAAAATCATTATTGGTTATTTTTTAAATTACTTCAATTTCACCACGAGCTGCTTGAATTTGCTTGAATTTTTCGTCCATGGTGGCTTCTAATTGTTGTTCCTAAATGTCTACCTTCTGTTGTGTTTCCTTCTATATAGACATTCCTTAGCTTTTATAAATTTAAGAGTATGGTATACACAAGAATCACTTTTCTATCTCTATTTTTTTTTTTTTTAATACTTGGTCTTTTAAAGAATCCAATCCAAACATATCCTATAATCCTTGAAAACCATCCACAAAATTAGATCTCACATTTCACCTTTGTAATTCAATTGGTAGTAATAGTTATCCTTAGCTTGCAACTATCCTAACTTCTTTTCACCTTTCACATCCCTAATGGTAGTAGTCAAATATACATATCTTTCATCACAACTTGTATAATCTATTATATTAGCTCTATCTATAAATGTCACAACTACTACATTAGATACCAATCTTGGATTCAAAATTTTGATCTTCCAACTATTGAATTTAATGCGTAAAGTTGACAATGTCAATGTATTGCAATACCTCCAAAAGATAAAGAGAAAAAATGCCACTACTACTTAACTCTTCAACTCTTCTTTCCATAATTCTTTCTTTTGCAAGATGTTATAAAATCAATATATAAATGAAGAAAAAGAAAAATAAAAAGAACCTAGACTATAAAAAAAAATACATTAAATTTGCACCAACTCCTTAAACTTAAAGAATTATACATATAAAAAAAGAAAAAAGAAAAAAGAAAAAATCGATGATCTTTGGTCCTTTTTTAAAACTCAATAGTACTTTAGCTTCACTTCTTGTAACCATCTATAAAATTTTGTAGAAAAACCAAAAGAATAGAAATTACAAAAGATAATAATAATCTTTCTTTAGCATTGTTTC